TTATTTAACAGCAGGGAGCAACACTCAGAAAAGCAAGAGCTGGGCCTTCCCTGAAGAGCAAGTCTGAACTTGGAAGAAAAGTTGCAGCTTCCAGGACCAGGGAATAGCAAATTCCAGTTGGACACAATAGTTGAACACTACACATCACCCCCACTGCTGGCCGCCTGAGGGGGCTCTATGTTAACTACTCAGAACTACGCTCTCCTATCTTACCTGCAGCCATCTTCCAGCAGGGCTACAGCTTCCACTTCACTCGGGATGCTGCTGTCAGCTCCAGATCTGGATTTCCTGGGGAAGGAGGGTCAAAGCTGTTCCAGGACCAGAAACTCCTGGATTTATTCTTTTGTATACCTGTCCAGTCTCAGCCACTGGCAATAGAGCTTCTGGAACTGGATTGAGGGCCTCCTGAGGTCCTCATGCTTCCTGATAGCAGAAATGCCAAAAGCTCTAGCAGGAGGGCTCTGGTCCAGAGTCATTCTCAAGAAGAGAAACCCTGCTCCCAGTGGAAATCTTCCAGTTTCAGTATTGGAAGCTCTTCCTTCACTTCAGGAGTCTGGGTCTGTTGGGCCACAGCCACAGCCATTGTTTGGTTCTTCCATCTCCTCTTCCATCACCTCACTGAAAGGCCACCTTCAGTCGAGTCACTATATCAAACTCTTGAAATCCTAGAAGCAGAGACAAATTACAAATTTTCACTCATGAAAAATCACAAGTGTTAGCCCCGAAGCACTGAGGCAAAGGAGACAGCCTTCCTGTGGGCCCCCTCCATGCTTTATGGAGTGCGGTTCTCTATCACGGGAGCCAGCTTGCGAAGGTTGATAAGAGGTCAAGGACTAGGGGTCAAGGGCCAGTCTGGTTGGAAAGTGTGGGAAAGTGCTTGAAACTGTTTGCACTACAGGGTGTTGGAAAGTGAAGTCCAGGGTGAACCTGGGCCTGCGAAGGAGGCTGCAGTACCTTGGAGAGCAGCACCGGGTGGAGTCCGCTCTAGGTTCTCGCCTTTGTGCATCGTAATTCCCTCCCAAATTGGGTGGTTTACTATAGTTAAGGTTACAGGCTTGAGAAGCAAGGATACTAAAAGTGCAGGCTTCATAAGATGCTGGAGTTGGAAAAGTTGGGATACATTATGGCTCAGAGACCCCCGGGACTTCCTGAAGGTCATACTGGTCTCAGCCCTTTGACGGCGGGCAGGGCAGCTAGACGAAGAACGTGGCTTACACCAGAAGCCTCGGCTCCAGCTCCGCAGACCACATCCAGAGCTGTCTGAGGCCCATTGCGTTATAGACTATGGGGCCGGTGGGCGGCAAGGACAAGGGGTCGCCAGGACAAGGGACACATCTTGCCTGGGTCCGCTAGCCGGGACGCCTGGCTCAGGCGAGCCAAAGGGACGCTGCTCTCGGCCCGGCCACAACCACTCGGCGAGTGTGAGGTAGCCCAGGCCCCAGGTGACAGCTGCTCCTGCCTGCCAAGGCCTTGCAGCTACGAACGACTCAGCCCCACGGAACACACTCCGCGGCCACATGACGTCCCCACGCGCCACTCCAGTGCAGACCCACAACTTCTGGCATTCAGACGGCCAGTAGACACCGAAAGCGGAAACCCAGCCCCTGAAGGACTCAATATTCTCCAGAACTACATTTCCCAGAGGGCCCCGTCTTTAGACTGACAGGAGCATTAACCAATAAAGTATGAGAGCGACTGAGGTCTATTTGCTTCAGGCGAATCATTGACAAGGGTAGGACTTTCCTACCAGATGGCTTGGGGGTCCAAAGCCTGGACCAGAGCGAGCGTGCTGCAGCTGAAGGGTGTGAGTCCTGTGTCCCAGAGGAGATAGGGGCTTCGCCCTGCGCCGCGCTGCTGGCACTGAGCATCAGGGCTCTGTACAGAGTTTCCACTTACGGCTTTATGGCAGTTGAATAAACAGGTAGCTCGACCTGAGGTCACGGTTAGTATGGCACTAGGATCCCAGCTCAGATTCTCTGCCACTTAAAGTGGCTTTCTCACTGGGAGACCGAGGCAGGAGGATCGCAAGTTCGAGCCCAGCCTGGGCAACTTAGCGAGTCCCTGTCTCGTAAGAAATAGAAAAGGACTGTGGATATAGCTCAGTGTAAAGGCCCTAGCTTCAATTCCCAGTTAATTAATAATGTATCTTTGATGCCTACTGTGGTAATGCTTCATTCCTCCTGGCCCGGTGTGCACACAGTCCTGATGGTTCGAGATAAGTACCACTGACGCTTATTCATTCAACAACTAATTGTAGAGCATCTACTTGGTCCACAACTGGAACAGGGCTTGGATAGTGCCGTAGTGGCAGAAAAAAAGCAAAATACTCCTTGCTTCCCACCCCGCTTTACTAGTTGTGAATGAAAGCTATACATACGATTACTCCTGCATCTTCTCAAATGTATCTTCACATGTATCTTGTCCTTTTCCTTTCCTACCTGGTGGGCTTGGGCTGTTCTAGTATATTTTTGTGGTCTTCATTCCATTTTAGCCTGGTGATAACCACTTTGCTGAGGGAAGGCCTACACAGACAGCTGTGCCATGGGCCTTTCCCACCACACTTTGTGTGCAGTGCCCATTCTTCTGTAAACCTGGACTGCTTTGCCAGTCTGCTGACTTTTCTTTTTTGGTACCGGGGATTGAACTCAGGACCTTGAGCTTGTGAGGCAGGCACATTGCTGCTAAGCTAAATCTCCAGTCCTCTGCTGACCTTTATAGCTCCTCAACTAGAGCTTCATGGTCCTTATGAACAGGCACAGGTCGAACATGACACTTCTATATCACATCTCTGCAGAGGGAAAGACATGCTCTTACCACACTGAATGCCTTTTATGGCTCTTGCTCTCATCAGAAGTCAGAGGGACTGAACTTCATTTTGGCTGCTACAAAAAGGATGAGCACATTTCTTCCTCTGAAGGGATGTAATCCAGCAGAGTGCATTTTCTAAAATACTGCTCTGAACAACCCAAACAACTCCAGAGTGGTGTGTTTAGCACTGAATGGGAGTGTGTTGGAGTGCCTGGAATGTAACACTGGAAAGGCAGGGGGAGTCCAGGATGGGAAAGGTGCTGCCTCAAGGAAAGGGGGAAGGAAGCCACTCTAGGCAGTGTGATCAAACAACGTGGTGAAAGTTTAAAATAAAATAATGTATTACATTAAAAGACACATTCCCATAAAGTCCTCAAAGTGCCCCTTGCTTCGAACACACATCCCATTGTTCTTGTGACTTTCTGAAGCAGTTCTGGAAGTCTTCTTTCCTGAGTGTCTTAGGAGATGTGATAAAAAATGAAAGCTTGGGCCGGGATGTAGCTCAGCAGCACAGTGCCTGCCTAGCAACAGCAAGGTCCTGAGTTTGATCCCCAGTACAAAAGAAAAAAAAATGCTGCTCCCAAGGTCCATCCCATGGAAAGGCAGCTCGTAAAAACATCACAGCACGTCCTCATTCACCATTCACTGGATCTGGCACTGGGCGACTTCTGGCTCTTCCCCAAAGCCAAAATGACCATGAAAGGTCATTTTAAATCAATTCAGACATGGAGGCAGCCATGACAGCACAGTTAAAGATACTCAGGAAAGAGGACTTCCAGAGTCACTTCAGAAAGTGGCAAGAATGATGGGATGTTTGAAGTGAGGGGAGTACTCAAGGGGGGTTCATGGCAATGTGTCTTTTACTGTAACATTTAACCAGTCACCATATTTTTATCAAACCACACATAGGCCCAATGGCACAGTGCCCGCCCATTCCCACTTGACCAAGCCAGACAGTCTGCATTTCCTCAACTTCCTGGTTTTTTGGTTTGGTTTGGTTTTTGCAAGTTTTGAGCATAGAGCTGTGCTATCTTATCTCTTCCATAAAGGTTTCCAGGTCAAGGCTTGAGTTTATTCTTTCCAAGCTTACATGACTAAAAACCTTTTTTGGGTTGACTTTGCTAACCATTCTCTTCTGACCAGGTGACATTAGCTAAGATCTTCCATTGCTCTAAAAGCAGAACTGGCATGACCTCAGTTACACTAACAGGGATGGAAAGCCAATGCGACTTAGCCACTCTGTCTCCAAATCTCTCCATCACTCATACAATTTGTTTTTTGAGACCAGACCTTGCTAAGTAGTTCAGGGTGGCCTTGAACTCACAGTGATCTTGCCTCAGCCTCTGGGATGCTGGGACTTCAGGAGTGCGCCACCACACACAGCTTGCTCACACAATTTTACTTCTATTTCCCCTATAGCCCTGGGCTATTTCATCAAGAGAGCAAGAAAAGGAAAGACTGATCTTTTGTGCAAGGATTTGGCAAAACTTAATGTAGCCTTCCATGTGACCATCTCTAAGGCCACCTGTGAGAGATCCTGAGTACCACAGACTAACACAGGGACCCCTGTTCAGCTTCCTCGCTGAGACAGGACCCCATGAGGGACAATGAGCCAGGAAAAGAGATCACCTGTCACGGGCTTGGTTGGACCAATTACAGTGTGGATAGTCCTGCTACAACTAGGGAGACTAAAAATTAATATGCTTGCTGCAGCAGCTCATACACTAAAATTGGAACAACAGAGATTAGCATGGCCCCTGCTCAAGGATGACATGCAAATTCATGAACTGTTCCATATTTTTAAACAAATAAAATGAATGTGTACAAAAAAAAAAGTAGCTAAACCCTGTGTGATGGTGCACATCTGTAATCCCAGCACTCTGGGAGGATAAAGCAGGAAGATTTCGAGTTAGAGCCCAGCCTGGGCAATTTAGAGATTTAGTGAGACCCAGTCTCAAAATAAAAATTTTCCAGGGGCCGGGGATTTAGCTCAGTGGTTCTGCCACCTGCCCTGCAAGCACAAGGACCCGAGTTCGATCCCTGGTACCAAAAAATAATAAAACAAAATAAAATAAAAATTTTCCTAAAGCCTGGGGATGCAGCTTAATGAGAAAGACCTGAGTTCAATAACCATAGCTAATTTATCATTTTTATTTTACTGTCCTGTTCTTTCGTCTATTTGTCCCTATTAGGTACTTCTTTCGGCGTTAACGGTACAGTGGTGTGGACTGACTTCAAATTGCTGGGTAAGTTACTGACCCACCCTCCTCTAAGGCTCCGCTTCTTCCTGTTGCTGAGGCCGCCTGCTAACCTTGCAGGGTCACTGTCAGTGTGAATGAGGTAGCAGGTCAAGGGCTGAGCACTGTGCCTCAGCCTTCGTATCTACTCTGTGCATCTTTACTGTAAGCAATTACAATTTATGGCAAACCCTAAACACAACCCAAAGGGAAATACATACTATGAAAACAAAAGTCATCTCATTAGGACAGCCTCAAGTTGTAACAAAAGAACAAAGGCGTGTAGTGACATCAACTTCAAACAGGAAAACATAGACTCTGACCCACAGACTCAGCTATAGTAGGCAAGGGGTGTGGTCCTCCACTGGCTTTTGTTACATTCAAAAATGTCATTGGGACACTTTTCTATTGATACTTTGGATTGAACCTAGGGCCTTGTGCATGCCAGGCAAGTGCTCTACCACTGAACTACATTCCCAGACATTTTTAGCTCTTATATTGAGATAGGGGCTCCTTAAATTTCCCAGGCTGGCCTTGAACTTGGAATCTTCCTGCCTCAGCCTCCCAAGTAGCTGTGATTACAGGTGTGGACCACTTCGCCTGGTTTGATTTTTACAAGTGTCCTCAGCAGTGTAATTCCATGGGTAAATACTAAAGTTACAGCTTAACTTACTTGTGTCATCTTACCAGAGGACAGTACAGGGAAACTGTATTCTCCAGGCCACGGTTGTGGGCTCCATATGCCTCTTGCATTTAAATGCATCTCGCTGAAGAGAGCCAGCTGGTAAATCCCAACTGAGCTGCTATCATGTACACTGAGCCGGGTGCCAGACAGTTGTGAACCTCAGGGTAGGCATAAGTGTGAAAAACAGAAGAGGTGAGGGCAGGATCGAGTAGGAGCTGAAGGACAGGAGTGTGCAGGGAGCACAGCAGGGTCGGACCTGCCATATTCAAGGGAGGGCTTCTTAGAGGAGCTGGTGTCAGGCTATCTCTGAGAACGGGCAGACCAGAATCCCAACAAAGGAAGCAGAGTGCAAGGGCACTGAGGCAGGGCCCTGCTGGGCACAGGGAGGGACTTCTGGGCAAGGATGTGAGGGGCATGCAGGGGTGGGGACCAGAATAGGGCAAGAAATGTGATGAGGTTCCATACAGGTCCCACTACGAAGGCCTCAACTGCTGTCCCAGGAGTGTGGCCTTTGCTGACAAGAACTGAAGGGTGCTAAAGCTAGGCAGTGACAGGGTGAGGTCCGCATCATAGGACGGAGGCTGGAGCAGCAGGCCAGGACTGGGGTTGCTTGGGGAACCTGGAAAGAGCTAATTCTGGGGTCAAGCAGAGACTGAGTTAGGCCAGGGCTCTGGGCCCTGGAGCTGTGACACAGCCGGATGGAATCTGCAGAGTGTGAGGAGAGAGAAGCCTTGGCTCACCCCCACAATTAGGGCTGGGGGATGATGGGACTCACAGGAAATGTAAGGAGGCAGCCAAAGCCACTGAGGTCTAGAGGAACAACTCCAGGAGGGAACTCCAGGAGAGGGAAGACTGGACACCAACCAAGGCCAGTATCCTAGAGACCAAGTGATACCACAGGCAGAGGTCCTGTGCTGAGGCCCATCCATCCGCAGCCTGAGCACAAAGGAACCGTAGGCGACACAGGGGCGGGGGCCTGGGGCCTGGGTGTCCATACCACAGGGTCAGGGTCCTCAGATGCAAGAAATTTCAAGAGCACAAGGCCAGCAAGGGGATTGGGAGTGGGAAGTGACCAAGGTCACATAAGAGACTTGCTGAGTTGGACCTGAGGGCCACATTGAGGCTGAAGCAATTGCTTTCTTTTTCTTTTTACTACTTACTGTAGATTTCTTGTCCCAAGCCTGTTTGAGTGTGTGCGTGTGTATGTGTGCGCGCACAGTACTGGGGACTGAACCTAAGGCCTCTGCACTGAGCTATGTCTCCAGCCTTTTTGAGACAGAATCTTGATATGTACTTCAGGTTGGTCTCAAATGCAGTGATCCTCCTGCCTCAGCCTCCCAAGTGCTGGGATTACAGGGGTATGCTACCATGCCCAGCTTATTCCTCTGATCTTAAAAACTAGGGACAACAGCTCAGTCCCTAAAGACCCATGTATTGTCACAGGTTACAGGTGTAACTGTGCTGCAGGTGGCAATCTGGTGTAAGTAGATCTGCCAAGGGGACAAGAGCTTCTTGGAATTCCTTAGGGGAAGACACCCATGTCCTTGCCTCCAACACAGAGCCCCACAAAGGACACCAGCCCTCTCTGCCTCTGTGGCCCCACAGACAGGAAGTGGGACATGAGATGACTGGCTCTCAACCTTTCAAGAATCATGGTTTAGGCTGGGGATTTAGCTCAGTGGTTCTGCCGCCTGCCTCGCAAGTGCAAGGTCCCAAGTTTGATCCCCAGTACCAAAAAAAAAAAAAAAAAATCATGGTTTGTCATTTTTCCCAACTCGACTCTACCCCAATTCTGCCAATTTCAGCTTCTTTTTATCTTACTTCTTTTCCAGGATAATTCATGTTTCTACCAGGTAGGTAGGAGAGAAAAAATTTTTTCAAAAAGCTTAATATTAACTCTCAAGTCGTAAAGCTCTTCAACTCAAGATTCCTCTAATAATCAAATTCAGGAGCTCAAAAACCAAACAAACAAACCCAGAAACTCAAGTGTCAGCCACGAATCTGTCCTATCTACTGCCCCTCCCTGGTAAGACAGCTCTCACCTCTTCCCAGATGGGAATCCTTCTCCGGCTGGCCAGCTATGGGACTCCTCATTCCTGAGCTTCCCCAGCACCTCGTACTCAGTGACCATTTGCCAAATACATGAAGGGATAGAATCAGGGATGGGCATTTCACAGCCTCACTGGTTGGTTTAACCACCACCACTGCCTAGAACTTCCTTCCGTGGCTAATGTAACTGATTCTGGATAGAAATTATTGCAGTGGCCTCCTCAGGATGTCATCCAGCTCCTTAGCTGATTTGGCTATGCTAAAGTCCTGTGGACAGATTGAAAGTGGGGCTCACATCACAAAGAGCAATGGCGAGAGTGCAGATTCCCCAGAAGTGTGCTCTGAAGCTTCTTTCCCTTAAAGGTCTCGGCCACTTTCAGTGTGAGGCCAAGGTGCTGGGGGTAGTGAGGCCGGAGTGTGAACAGTCAAGTTCAGGTTTTTGGGTTTTTTGGTACCGGGGATCGAACTCAGGACCTTGCGCTTTCGAGGCAGGCAGTGGAACCACTGAGCTAAATCCCCGGCCCTAAGTTCAGGTTTTTAACACACATTAGAGGACAGGCTCAGGGAAAGAAAGGGAATCCATTTTATTAGGCAATATGGAGCTTCCATCAAGGCCCCCCAAACCCAGGCCCCATGAGTAGAAAGCAGCTTCATATTTCCAAGACACCCCATCTGCTCCCCTCTTCCCTCCTAACCAACCCATCACCTCACCTGCTGTCATCCCGACTTAACTGTCTTACGGAACAAAGCCCTGGGAGCAGCCAGGATGGCACAGGAAACTAGGACAAACTCCTGACTTAAGCCCAGAGCTCTCCAGGGGATGTTGTCTGCCCTCAAAGTTAGCACTTCCTTAAAAATCCTGTTCTTGGTATCTAAAAGCTACCAGACACCTAGACCTGTGTATAGAAAATAATGACACAAGAACAGAGATGAGATGAGTACAGTGTTCAGAACTGAGAGGGCAGCGGGCAGGGCTGTGTCACCTTGGATGACAGGAAGCCCAACTAACACAGTGGGCAGCTGGGCTCACAGACCTCATGCCCTGTACACTGCACCCCAAGGGAACGAGGGTGCCCACTGGCAGCTGGCTCCCCAGAAGCAAGCCCAAAGACCACCATTCCCAGCAGGCCCTGTCCCTCCCACCAGGACACACTTCCTGACACTTTTTGGAAATAGAAAAGGGCTTCCCCTTCACGTGGATGACAGGATTGCAAAAGGCCCACCACCCTGACCCAAAACCTACACCTAAGACACCAGAGCCAGTTAGCCGGGGGCCCAGGAATTCCACCAGCTCAGGCAAAGGCACTTCAGTCCAACCAAGTGGCAGCCAACCAACCAGAACCCTAGGAACAGATGCCCAGTTTCTCTGGAGACTCCGCCCACATGAAGAAACATTACCAAGGAGAAAAGCAAGGCAGAGAAAGTTAGGAGAGAGGGCCAACAACATCGTGAATGTAACAGAAAAAGACCCCACTTTCCAACCTTCCAGCCTCTGCTGCTCTTGAACTGTAGGGGCCCTGACTCCTGACAAGCAAGGTGCCAGCCTGGCAGACACTGGTCGGGGGGTGGGGGGGGATACCCTGCCACCGTTTGGAACAAATGGCACTGCAGACCCCTGCTCTCCGCAGTTGTCCCCTCCCTTCACCGCGCGGCTTCAGTACAATTTCTCTTTCATATGAGTCCTCTGGTGCGTGATGAAGTTGGAGCTGTTGCTGAAACCCTTGCTGCACTCGGGGCACTTGTAGGGCTTCTCGCCCGTGTGGATGCGCTGGTGGATGATGAGCACCGAGTTCCAGCTGAAGCCCTTGCCGCACTCGGGGCAGCGGTAGGGCTTGTCCCCCAGGTGCGCGCGCTGGTGCATGAGCAGGATGGAGCCGCGGCTGAAGCTCTTGCCGCACATGAGGCACGGGTAGGGCTTCTCGCCGGTGTGCGTGCGCTGGTGCACCACGAGCTGGGAGCGCTGGCTGAAGCTCTTGCCGCACTCGTCGCATGCGTAGGGCTTCTCGCCCGTGTGCACGCGCTGGTGCTTGATGAGGTTGGAGCTCCAGCTGAAGCTCTCGCCGCACGTCAGGCACTCGTAGGGCTTCTCGCCCGTGTGCGTGCCCTGGTGGGCGATGAGGCTGGAGCTCTGGCTGAAGCTCTTGGCGCATACCCCGCACTTGTACGGCTTCTCCACCAGGTGGGTCCTGCGGTGCGTGGCCAGGTTGGAGCTGCGGCTGAAGCTCTTGCCACACTCGCCGCACTGGTAGGGCTTCTCGCCCGTGTGCGTCCTGCGGTGCGTGATGAGCGCCGAGCTCTGGCTGAAGCGTTGCCCACAGTCCGGGCACATATAGGGCTTCTCGCCCGTGTGGATGCGCTGGTGGCGGATCAGGTTGGAGTTGTAGCTGAAGCTCTCGCCGCACTCCTTGCACTCATAGGGCTTCTCGCCTGTGTGGATGCCCTGGTGCGTGTTGAGGCTGGAGCGGTTGCCGAAGCTCTTGCCGCACTCCGGGCACGAATAGGGCTTCTCGCCCGTGTGCGTGCGCTGGTGCGCGATGAGGTTGGGGCTGCGGCTGAAGCTCTTGCCGCACTGGGCGCACTGGAAGGGCTTCTCGCCCGTGTGGATGCGCTGGTGGGTGATGAGGTTCGCGCTGCGGCTGAAGCTCTTCCCGCAGTCCCTGCACTTGTAGGGCTTCTCCCCTGTGTGCGTCGTCTGGTGTCGGCTGAAGTTGGAGCCGTCGCTGAAGCTCTTGCCGCACTCGTCGCACTTGTAGTACTTCTCCCCGGTGTGGGTCCGCTCGTGCGTGACCAGGTGGGACTTCCGGCTGAAGGTCTTCCCGCACTGGGTACACTCATAGGGCTTCTCTCCCAGGTAGGTGCCCTGAAGGCCTATGAACTGGCCGACCTCCCTGCCCTGGGCTGGCGCCTCCCTGGCGTCCTCACCCGTGGTAGCGTCTCCCCGGGCCCTCTTCGGGCCACAGTCTCTGTCCGAGTCGCTGTCCCTGTCGGATGGCTGACCGCAGTCCCCCTCGGGGATTCCCGAGAACATCTCAAACATGTCTGGATTAGAGTTCTCCCCATTCTTTCTCTGTATCTCAAAATCTGAAACGATGGAGAAAAACAAACAAGGTCCACTCAATTCCCTAGCATGAGGAGAAAAGGAAACCAAAGGGGAAAAGTTTTAAATGCAACTTCTAATGAAATTAACTAGAAAAAAAATAAGAGATAAACTAGAAAATCCTTAACACTTTTAAAAAGCAAGTAGGTTTGGGGCTGGGGCTGTAGTTCAGTGGTAGAACCTATGCTTAGAATCTGGGAGGCCCTGGGTTCCATCCCCTTCAAAAAAATAAATCCAGGTTTATTTCCTACTAACTGGATATTTAGCTGTCAGGCTTCATATCTTCATGGTAATCACTTAGATTTCAGTTTCATGTCTTTAGCCGTTTCTCCATTGGGGAATGGGGTCATGTGGGAATATGAAAATCCTAATTAAAGGAAAACAGGTTACACAATGACCTCCAACACTCACCATGTTGCTGATGCTTAGTAGGTGTTCAATTAAATTTGACTAAATGAATAAGGTTTTCTGTTGGTATCACAGAAGTATCCCTAAGGCTCAATCTCTTTTCAAAAGCTCATATACTATTTTGCATTAAAATGTGTCTTATAATTTATTACCCGGGTTTTTTTTTTTTCTTTCAGTAGTGGAGACTGAACCCAGGACCTTCACAATGAGCTACATCCTTAGCCCTTTTCCATTTTGAGACAAGGTCTCCCTAAGTCACTAAGTTGCCCAGGCTGGGCTCCAATTTTCAGTCCTCCTCCCTCAGCCTCCCAGAGTGCTGCGACTATAGGCATGTGCCACCACACCCAATTACCTGACATTTACCTAAGACACAGATAAGCTGACAGAGCCTTTGGAACAAGGACTTTGTCTATCCACAAATGCCTACAAACAAGTTAGTGAGCAATTAATAGGGCCCTTCTGTCTTCAAGGGACCCTACAGACAGACCTTTAACTGGTATCGCAAAACACCTCTCTTCCTTGAACCTGTCAAACTCTACTGCTGGGTGCCTGGCAGACATTTGTGTGGAAGAATCTTTAGGAAGAACTGCTGTAAAAGTATAGTTCCTGGGCCAGGGATTTACCTCAGTGGTTTTGACACCTGCTGCGCAAGCGCAAGGACCCAAGTTCAATCCCCAGTACAAAAAAAAGGGGGGGGGGGCTGGGCTGGGGATTTAGTTCAGTGGTTTCACCGCCTGCTCCGCAAGCACAAGGACCTGAGTTTGATCCTCGGTACAAAAAAAAAAAAGTATAGTTCCTTGCTGAGACCCTACCTTGAAACTAGACCTGCTGAAACAGCTGTAAGCCAGGATCGAACTGTTTTGACCCACAGGGGAGCTGTTTACTGAACTGTGATGGTTTAATGGCTCTGGCTGACAATGAAGCACACCTGAAGTATCATCAAAAACTCATAGCTGGACCAGGGATTTAGCTCAGTGGTTCCACTGCCTGCCTCAAAAGCGCAAGGTCCCGAGTTCGATCCCCAGGTACAAAAAAAGAAATTGTTAGAAACTCGTAGCTGTCAGGAACATTAGTGTTGCCAGGAAGTTGTTGTTGACATTGTTTATACCACACAATGTCCTCTTGGTGAGGGGCAAGAGGAAGTTTTCCTCTTGACCTCAATACCAAAAACAGCTGCTCTGGTCCGGGTGAGGTGGCCTACACTGTAATCCCACCACTCAGGAGGCAGAGGCAGGAGGATTGCCACGAGTTTGAGGCCAGCCTGGGCTACAAAGTGAGTTCAGGGCCAGCCTGAAAACAAAGCAAGACCTTGTCTCAAAAAAAAATTTTTTAAATCCAAACCCAGCTGCTCTCCTGAGCAACTGGTCTGTATTCCCCTGAGGCCCACAGATGTAGCTCCCTTTTTGCCTAGCAGCCTTGGAAGCTCAGAATCAAAAGGTCATAAACAGGGTGGCACACACCTGTCACCCCAGCCTTGGGGGTCGGGAGGGGTTGAGGCAGGAGGATCATGTGAGTTCATGCCCAACCGGGACTACATAAGGAGTTCAAGGCCAGCCTGAACTGCTTAGTGAGACCCTGTCTCAAAATTAAACACCCCCCCCACACCCTAGCCGCAAAAAACCTTATATAGCAAGAACACTAAGTAATTTCATAGCATGTATTTTTGTATACTTTCAAGATTTTCCTCCCATTTTCTTGTTTACTATAATTTCTTTGCTGTATTTCTATTTTTTTGTCTTTTTTCTTTGTACATTTCTAGAAAGAATCTCCAATACTTTCTTTAGAATTCTAAAAAGCATACAGAAATAATAATTTCATTAAGATGAGAGCCTGATGAGAGCATTGAGACTACCTAGTGCAATATCTTGATTTCTAACTATTATTCTTCAATTAAAGAAACAATGGTACTTCGTAAAAATTGTTGATTCCAGGGCTGAGGAACACAAAGTATACCAAGAGAGTCATCTACTGTACCTTCAAAAACTAAATATTTACTCAAAAATGATGGAGACTGGACAAAAGATACATTATTTCTCAGACCTACATCAGACCTGAGAAAGCAAGAAAGACAATTAGTAGGGCCGGGGATTTAGCTTAGTGGTTCCACCACCTGCCTCGCAAGCGCAAGGTCCCAAGTTCCATCCCTGGTACCAAGAAAAAAAAAAAAGCAATTAGTAAAACAATTACCTTAAGTCGCAGTCACATTTCCATTACTAAAGCTAATAAATGGTTTATGTAAGGCTGATGCTCAATTCAGTGACAATCAGTTTACATTACGAATTTCCACACATGGGCCTCCCTCTGCACCAGGGCTGGGTTCCACTCATGGCTTTAGTCAATGTAGGATCCATACTAAGGGGCTGGGGATACAGCTTAGTGGTAGCAAGAGTGCTGAGCATACTCAGACCCTAAGGTTCAAACACCAACACCAAAAAAGAGACCACAGTTAAAACTCAAGTAGCCATATATGTACATATATTTCATATCACATTCATATATATGGTGATACTCCCAAGGTTCATGCAATTGCCCTGCAGCCCCACTGCTCAGACCTCCAGGGGATGCATATGTGTGATCAATAATACACTGAACGTTTATTTATTTTTGAATGTTAAAATTTATTACATTAAAAGACACAATGCTATTAATATTCCTAGGGGCAAACACATTAATCCCATCCTTGCCACTTTCTGGAGCAGTTTACAGAAATTTCTGTCAAAAACATCATGGTGTGTTCTCGTCCACTTGATTCACCAAATCTGACACTGTGTAACTTCCGGCTCTTCTTCAAAGTCAAGATGACTATGAAAGGTCAATGTTGTGAATCAATTCAGGACATCAAAGGAGCCACAGCAGTGCAACTAAAGAAATGAAAGAGGACTTCTAGAACTGCTTCAGAAAGTGGCCAGAATAATGGGATAAGTGTGTCTGAAGTGAAAGGAGTATGCAAGGGGGATTCATGGCAATGTGTCTTTTACTGTAATAAATTTATTTATTCCCTGTATTTTTTCATCAAACCATGTATAGAAACGATGACATGGTGCTCATGCCCACTTGGGCAAGGCCAGGCAGTTGGTTTCCTCAACTTTCTGCAAGAGCTTTTTGTTTTGTTTTGTTTTTGTTTCTTTGCAACTTCTGAGCACAGAACTCTGTCTTATCTCTTCAATACAGGTCTCCAGGTCAAAGCCCCAATTTATTGTGTGCAAGCCAACATGACCAAAAACATTTTTGAGAATGACTTTGGTAACTATGCTCTTCTGAGTAGGTGACATTAGCTAATAAAATCTTTCACAAACAGACTGGTGAGTTTGGGTGTGAGCTTAGAACAACAGGAAAAGGAAGTAAAAATGCAAATGAGGTTAGGAGGAGGGTGAAACTCACTGACACCAAAATACCTGTCAGGGCTCCCAAAACAGCTGAGACTGTCGGAGCAATGAGAAGGGACAAGAAGGGAAAAGTGGATGAGTGCTTGCTAAGAAAGCTCGGGCAGAAAAGCCCCTCCTGAAGCTTCTGGCCTCACCCCAAGACCACAGTGGCCCAGGGAACTGGGGCAAGCAGAGCAAGCTGCTCTGGTTCAGCGGGGCAAAATGGGGAAGGCCATGAGCAGAGTCACACAGAGGGTCTGTGGGTACAGCAGTGTTTCCCGCACGGAGGAGCCGAAGATGCGAGAGCATTTCTGTAGTGCAGAGGAGGCTTTAACACATGCATTCATCAGGGGACTTTATGATTACTTTTTCTAAAGTAACCATTTTCCATGTGTAAACAGGTGAATGAAGCATCCACATCTAGGAAGGAAGACCTAGAGGACAACTTGAGGAAGAGAGAGATGTAAGCTGGAGGACTCAGGGGAGAAAGGGAAAGATCCAGAGATATGGAGGCAAATGGGAAGCACAGAGGGAAACAAGGTGGCAGAAGGAGCCAAAGAGAGCAGAATGAAAATTTCGATCAATGGGAACAGTGCATGAGCTCCAAGGATTTGAGAGCATGGCAGAAACACAAGTTAGGCAAAAGGAGAAGCAATAAATGTACTAGAGTTCTCAAGAAAACTAGAACAAAAGAACAGGGAGGGCCAGTGCTGGACTGGAACCTAGAGCTTTGCCCACACCAGGAAAGTGTTCTGCCACTGAATTGCACCCACCAGCCCATAGACAAATTTTTAAAGGTGTAATGTATAGGGGCTGGGGTGCAGGTTGGTTGTAGAGGCTGCATTCAGCATGTGGAAGGCCCCGGGGTTAATCCTCAGTACAAAAAAACAAAAAGACATTAAAACCAGGGTTGGGGGAATAAGGTGGGATGTAGGGTATGTTTGTTGAATGCCTCATCTGTAATACTTGGGGGTTTAAAGGGTAACATTAAAATTGATGTGTCATATAATTGAAGTGTTAAGTGTACAAAATTAAACATTAAGATTACTGACTGAAATTGGGGATAGAGAGGAGAGAAACTATCTCAGATGTTAAAACTTTATGAAATCTCAATAATTAAAACACTATTGGAGGAGCAAAAGAGGATATAAAAAGATGTGTCACATACATATACCAACTACCCACAATTAGTATTACTACTAATATAAATACTGCGTACTAACTGCTTATACCACTGGAGCTCCTGTACTACTACTAAAAACATGTAGGGGCAGGGATTTAGCTCAGTGGTTCCGGTGCCTGCCTTGAAAGTGCAAGGTCCCGAATTCGATCCCTGGTACAAAAAAAAATCATGTACTATTAATATTTTTTAAAACCCAGTAAGCAATCTGACCAAAACAAAAAACAAAAAACCAGCAAATCCAAGCTGGACAGTGATACACACCTGTAAACCCAGCACTCTGAGAGGCTGAGCCAGGAGGATAACAAGTCCCAGGCTAGCCTGGGAAACTTAACAAACAAAAATTTAAAAAGGACTGGGGATGTAGCTCAGTGGCATAATGCTTGCCCAGCAAGCACAGGTGCTGGATTCAATTCCTGGCACCACACACACACCACAGGAGTTTACTAACTGAAAGTACAGTGAGTCCCTGACTTATGAACATTTGAGTCTCGAACTTTCACAGCTGTACTGTATAAGACTCGCCATTGGCTTATGAACAAATCCAACTTAGGAACAATTCTAGAAAGGAACTCGTTCTAAGTCTGGGACTTACTGTACTTGCTATTCCAAGATGCCAGGATAAGCACATTTGTGGGTTCAGCTGGACAGGCAGAGGTGATGACACGGGTGTGTGTGTGTGTGTGTGTGTGTAAGGCCCAGATCTCCAGTAGAGGAAATTCAGAACAGTCAGGTATTAAGGAAATGGACAGGAAAGGGTTTTCTAATTATTACTGATTTCCCCCAAAACTACTGAAACAGGTAAGACGTCACCTAATCTATAAAAACTTTTTTTTGGTACCGGAGATCGAACTCGGGTCCTTGTGCTTGCAGGGCAGGCGGTGGAACCACTGAGCTAAATCCCTGGCCCTATAAAGAGACTTTAAATAAGGGCTTCAAAAGCTTTTGTACATAGGGAAGGGAAGGGGCTTGAGAGGAGGGGGGCAATGGAAAAAAAGAGGTGGGATGTACCATATACAGGTACAGATTCCCTATGATGCGAGTAATCATTATATATGCCTAAAATGCACCAATAAATGTTTTGCTATTAAAAAAAATGTTTCAGACTATCCTGTGTAGTTTCAAAGCTGATGAATCTCACAAAATACACACTGAGTGTTACATTGCTAATTTCACAGAGCATTAAGTGTTACAAAGGAACTGAAAGAGGGTGATGCGAATGCAAATAACTGGAGGGGTCCTTGGAGGGGACATTTGGCCAAGACAGGAATGCTTCTCAGTTGTCCGCATAGCATCCTTTTTTTTTTTAATTCATAGGCTTTGTTATACACAGGTTTGTTCTTTTTTTTTTTTTTTTTGGTACCAGGGATTGAACTCCAGTCCTTGCTCTTGCAAGGCAAGCAGCAGAACCACTAAGCTAAATCCCCGGCCTGGTTTGTTCTTGATATAACCACTGTTTGATAACACAGAGAACCATATATTAGTCTGTGACTAAGTTCAGGTTTAGTCAAACAGATGGTCAGAGGTCTGTCCTGAGACAGACCTGAAGGCATGCATGGTTCTCCTGCACACTGCTAGTAGGAATGGAAGATGGTGCAGCCAGTGTGGAAAACAGCATTGCACTTCCTTAAAAAATTAAAACTATAACCACCATATGATCCAGCAATCCCACTTCTGGGTTTACATCCAAAAGAACTGAAAGCTAAGACTTATCATTTGTGATAATCAAAGGTGGAGATGACCCAAATGTCCAACAAATGAATGGCTCAACAAAATACAGTACACGTAGCAAAATAGCTTTAACAAGGAACAAAGAAGGGCGAGGGATTTAGCTCAGTGGTTCTGCCGCCTGCCTCACAAGCGCAAGGTCCCAAGTTCGATCCCCAGTACCAAAAAAAGGAACAAAGGGCTGCAGGGTAGCTCAGTGGTAGATGCATGAGGCCCTCCCTGGGTTTGATCCTCAGCACAGGGATGGGGATCTGACCCATGCTTCAACATGGATAAGTCTTGAAGACAATTATACTATGTGAAATAAGCCAAACACAAAAAACAGAAACTTTATGATTCCTAGATATGAGCTACCTGGAGTCATGAAAATCACAGAAAAAAACAGCTGCAGTGGCTTGTGCCTGTAGTCCCCAGCTACTCTGAGGTTGAGCCGGGAGTATCACAGGCACAGGAGTTCAGGGTCAGTATGGGCAACAAGACAAGACCCTGTTTTTAAAAAAAAAAAAAAAAAAAAAGGCCTGGGACCAGGTTCAATACCTAGTACTCCACCCCCCAGCCCCCAACAAAGACTGAAAATAGAAGGCTGATTTCCAAGGACAATAGAAAGAACACAGTCATTGTTTAGTGGGTAGAGTTTCAGTTTGAGAAGAGAAATGCATTCCTAAGGAAACAAGGAAATACATGCTTTTGAGGGTTTGTTTTGTTTTTACAGTGCTGGGGATCAAACCCAGGGCCTCATGCACACTAGATAAGTGCTCTGCCACTGGGCTATCCCTCTACCCCCTGAAATTAACTTTTAAAGATTAAGTAAAATCCTTTGAAAGAGGATTCTGAGAAACACTCTCAGAAATCTAAGGAATCTAATATGCCAATGAATAGTCTCTTAAATGGGTATCTCCCCAAAAATTTGTAAGAATTT